ATAACTGTATCCTCAATGTGGTTGCACAGACTCCCTAACATACAGTTTCTTATCTTTAGGCTAGAATTATATCAGTTTAAGTTGGCCACATTCATTAACTAAGGCTGTTCAGCAGTTATTCTGGATGTTGTTTGACACATTAGGAAAATAAATTATTACAGGTTCTTTTTAGATTAATGTTTTTAAGGGGCCTGGTTGACAAGAACAGCTTTTTTTTGTTTGTGTCTCCGTCACTTCAAAACATCTGGATGGGTCATCACTAAGTTCGGAGATCAGAGTTTGAGTTGTCGTAAACACAAAATGTGAGTGGTACTAGACATAGACAGGCTCTTTGGAGAGCCCTGGTGGAAATCTCTCTTGGTTTCTTTTTTTTTTTTTCCCCATACAGTATAATAGGGGCTATAAATTGAAATTTTTCAACAAAATTGTATTTTGGAAAAATGTTACAAGGTTATTGGGAGTTGGGGGAGAGCAACAAAATATTCAATAATTTTATTAACAAGGGATTTTAAATTTTCCCTCTTGTGGATATGCGTAAGGTGTCATAGGAGACACATGGTTTTCTGATGACATATTTTAGTTCCAAATTAACCAAACAAAATCAGAAGTTTAAGAATTGTTTGCAAATTGATCCCGAAATTAAGGGTTCTTTCTAGGGCAAGCAAGAGAAGAGACTTTAGGGTTATGTGAGGAATTGTGTATGTCTGGAGCTGGGCCCCAGGTCAGCTGATACCAAACAAGATCATATGACTGGCAGTCAGGAGAAAAGTCCCCCACAGGTTAATGGTCTTTGTCCACTTGGAAAAAAAAAAAAAAAAGGTTCAAATGACAACTTCAAACTGATTAGGCTAAGGAGCTCAGCCTCTATTCAACACCTGAAATGCATCACTCTCTTCAAGCCCCCAAATACAAAGATGATCTCAGTAAAACTGGCCACAAAGGAATCTCAGGAATAAGTCGATCACTGAATCTCCAGAGGTTCTGAAACATTAATAGAGAAACAATATTTGGAATCCAACATTTTCAAAAGTGATATCAGGACTCTTAAGAGTATACTATGGAATGTATATAATATCCCCAATATACCACGAACTCCTTCACTCTCCCCACTCAGTTTCAAATGTCTGCAATTCCCAGTGAGCATCTGCTTCATGTGCCCATTAATACGTCTCAAGGAAAGACAGCCTAAATTCCAGCCACTGATCTGCACTCAGCGGCTCTTCACTTGGGCAACTCAATACAGTGGCTTCAGCCTAAGTCACAGCAGGCTTCATTCATTTGTGCTCCAGATCGAAAAGTGACAAATATGATCTTCAAAGGACATTTGTTATAATGTTTAAAATTATTACAACTTTACATTAATAAATTTGAGATGTTTTCAGATTCCAACATTAACCAACCAACATTATGTATTCTCTCACACTTTATTTAATGACAGTCAACGATTCTCCTGAGCACTATCAATAGTATTGCCAGGACATAGAAAAATAAATATTTGAAAGTTTAAAAGTAAAATCATTACTCCATAACCACTTCAGCAATAAGCAGAAAGTTTTTCTTTTTTTTTTTTTTTCTGAGTAATGTTTGGTTATCACTTCCAGTAAGAGAGCATTGAATCCAAGGTTTTCCCTCCCAATATTTTAGAGATGACACCTTGGCATCTGTGTGGGTGTGTAACTGGCTTAAATGTAAGGATAAGCAGTTGGCCAGATTCCCCTGAGATTTACTTGCTCTTTTCAAAACATGTCTATGTGGTAGAATACATGATCTACCTCATTCAGGAGCCAGTTCCACCTTCCCCATAATCCCAGAAGGCAGTTTTTGCAGAGCTATCTAGGGGAATTTCACTGTTCATAAAGATATCAGAAATATAACAAAGAATTATACATGATTTTCTATAACTTGAAGTTAAAATTTCATAACTATTCTGTTGCATAGTCTGATCATTCAGGTGATGAATTAAAAATATTTATAGAACTCCATTACTAGGAATATATCCTATCAGATCTAAAGAATCATATAAACACATATGCATGTTTAACCATCACCTCAGTAAATTAAAATTTCTTTGTAATGCTTCTTTATTAATTGAAAGCAATGAAATCTGTTTCTGTTGCTGGCAATCTAGTGTAAGTCAATACTTTTTATTCTAATCACAGCTTAATTACTAAATCTGGTCTTAATATACGTTAATACAACCAAACAAAATTGAGATAATCAAACAAAAACTGTGTAAGCTAAAGTCACCCTTGCCTCAAGGGTTTGATCTGAGTTATTAGATACATAATTGACTAATTCCTTATTGGGGGTGATATTATATTATGGTAAAATTATTTG